CTCCCTCCAAAGATGTTCTATTGGGTTCAGGTCTGGAGACTGGCTAGGCCACTCCAGGACCTTGAGATGCTTCTTACGGAGCCACTCCTTAGTTGCCCTGGCTGTGTGTTTCGGGTCGATGTCATGCTGGAAGAACCAGCCGCGACCCATCTTCAATGCTCTTACTGAGGGAAGGAGGTTGTTGGCCAAGATCTTGCGATACATGGCCCCATCCATCCTCCCCTCAATACGGTGCAGTCTTGTCCCCTTTGCAGAAATGCATCCCCAAAGAATGATGTTTCCACCTCCATGCTTCACGGTTGGGATGGTGTTCTTGGGGTTGTACACATCCTTCTTCTTCCTCCAAACACGGCGAGTGGAGTTTAGACCAAAAAGCTATTTTTGTCTCATCAGACCACATGACCTTCTCCCATTCCTCCTCTGGATCATCCAGATGGTCATTGGCAAACTTCAGACGGGCCTGGACATGCGCTGGCTTGAGCAGGGGGACCTTGCGTGCGCTGCAGGATTTTAATCCATGACGGCGTAGTGTGTTACTAATGGTTTTCTTTGAGACTGTGGTCCCAGCTCTCTTCAGGTCATTGACCAGGTCCTGCCGTGTAGTTCTGGGCTGATCCCTCACCTTCCTCATGATCATTGATGCCCCACGAGGTGAGATCTTGCATGGAGCCCCAGACCGAGGGTGATTGACCGTCATCTTGAACTTCTTCCATTTTCTAATAATTGCGCCAACAGTTGTTGCCTTCTCACCAAGCTGCTTGCCTATTGTCCTGTAGCCCATCCCAGCCTTGTGCAGGTCTACAATTGTATCCCTGATGTCCTTACACAGCTCTCTGGTCTTGGCCATTGTGGAGAGGTTGGAGTATGTTTGATTGAGTGTGTGGACAGGTGTCTTTTATACAGGTAACGAGTTCAAACAGGTGCAGTTAATACAGGTAATGAGTGGAGAACAGGAGGGCTTCTTAAAGAAAAACTAACAGGTCTGTGAGAGCCGGAATTCTTACTGGTTGGTACAGTGGGGAAAAAATGTATTTAGTCAGCCACCAATTGTGAAAGTTCTCCCACTTAAAAAGATGAGAGAGGCCTGTAATTTTCATCATAGGTACACGTCAACTATGACAGACAAAATGAGAAAAATAAATCCAGAAAATCACATTGTAGGATTTTTTATGAATTTATTTGCAAATTATGGTGGAAAACAAGTATTTGGTCAATAACAAAAGTTTCTTAATACTTTGTTATATACCCTTTGTTGGCAATGACACAGGTCAAACGTTTTCTGTAAGTCTTCACAAGGTTTTCACACACTGTTGCTGGTAGTTTGGCCCATTCCTCCATGCAGAACTCCTCTAGAGCAGTGATGTTTTGGGGCTGTCACTGGGCAACACGGACTTTCAACTCCCTCCAAAGATTTTCTATGGGGTTGAGATCTGGAGACTGGCTAGGCCACTCCAGGACCTTGAAATGCTTCTTACGAAGCCACTCCTTCGTTGCCCGGGCGGTGTGTTTGGGATCATTGTCATGCTGAAAGACCCAGCCACGTTTCATCTTCAATGCCCTTGCTGATGGAAGGAGGTTTTCACTCAAAATGTCACGATACATGGCCCCATTCATTCTTTCCTTTACACGGATCAGTCGTCCTGGTCCCTTTGCAGAAAAACAGCCCCAAAGCATGATGTTTCCACCCCCATGCTTCACAGTAGGTATGGTGTTCTTTGGATGCAACTCAGCATTCTTTGTCCTCCAAACACGACGAGTTGAGTTTTTACCAAAAAGTTATATTTCGGTTTCATCTGACCATATGACATTCTCCCAATCCTCTTCTGGATCATCCAAATGCACTCTAGCAAACTTCAGACGGGCCTGGACATGTACTGGCTTAAGCAGGGGGACACGTCTGGCACTGCAGGATTTGAGTCTCTGGCGGCGTAGTGTGTTACTGATGGTAGGCTTTGTTACTTTGGTCCCAGCTCTCTGCAGGTCATTCACTAGATCCCCCCGTGTGGTTCTGGATTTTTGCTCATTGTTCTTGTGATCATTTTGACCCCACGGGGTGAGATCTTACGTGGAGCCCCAGATCGAGGGAGATTATCAGTGGTCTTGTATGTCTTCCATTTCCTAATAATTGCTCCCACAATTGATTTCTTCAAACCAAGCTGCTTACCTATTGCAGATTCAGTCTTCCCAGCCTGGTGCAGGTCTACAATTTTGTTTCTGGTGTCCTTTGACAGCTCTTTGGTCTTGGCCATAGTGGAGTTTGGAGTGTGACTGTTTGAGGTTGTGGACAGGTGTCTTTTATACTGATAACAAGTTCAAACAGGTGCCATTAATACAGGTAACGAGTGGAGGACAGAGGAGCCTCTTAAAGAAGAAGTTACAGGTCTGTGAGAGCCAGAAATCTTGCTTGTTTGTAGGTGACCAAATACTTATTTTCCACCATAATTTGCAAATAAATTCATTAAAAATCCTACAAAGTGATTTTCAGGATTTTCAAGACTTCTGGATACGTGACGTCCAAAGGTGCAAACCACAAACCTACAACAGGAACAAGATCCCACAAACACTGTGGAAAAACAGACTGTTTAAATATGGTTCCCAATCAGAGACAACCAGCAACAGCTGACACTCGTTGCCTCTGATTGAGAACCACTCTGGCCAACATAGAAACACAATACAATAACTATACCCTAGAAACACAAAACTAGAACAACATAAAGAACACTCACACCCTGGCTCAACATACAAGCGTCCCCAGAGCCAGGGCGTGACAGTACCCCCCCCCCCCCAAAGGCGCGGACTCCGACCGCGCCAACAGAACACCACAGGGGAGGGACCGGGTGGGCACTCCGCCTTGGCGGCGGATCCGGCTCTGGGCATGATCCCCACTCCCTCTCTAACCCCCCACAGTACCCCTGGTCCGGTCTGGCCCTGCTGGCCGGAGCTGAACTGAACACTGGTGGAGCGGATTTCTCTAGCTCCGGCGTGGAGCAGCTGACCGGTACCGGACCAGGCACCGGTGGAACAGGCACGGGCTGTGCCGGACTGACGACGCACACCACTGGCTTGGTGTGGGGAGCAGGAACAGGCCGAGCCGGGCTGGCGACGTGCACCATAGGCTTGGTGCGGGGAGCAGGAGCAGGCCGGACCGGGCTGACGAAGCGCACCACTGACTTGCTGTGGAGTGCAGGAATGGACCGGGCCGGGCTGGCGACGCGCACCACTGACTTGGTGCGGGGAGCAGGAACAGGCCGGTCCGGGCTGGCGACGCGCACCATAGGCTTGGTGCGGGGAGCAGGAACATGCCGGACCGGGCTGGCGACGCGCACCATAGGCTTGGTGCGGGGAGCAGGAACAGGCCGGACCGGGCTGACGAAGCGCACCATAGGCTTGGTGCGGGGAGCAGGAACAGGCCGGGCCGGGCTGGCGACGCGCACCATAGGCTTGGTGCGGGGAGCAGGAACAGGCCGGGCCGGGCTGGCGACGCGCACCATAGGCTTGGTGCGGGGAGCAGGAACAGGCCGGGCCGGGTGGCGACGCGCACCATAGGCTTGGTGCGGGGATCAGGAACGGGCCGGACCGGACTGGTAACACACCCCAGTACCTCTCGCCGTGCCTCTACACTTTCCTTCCCCTTTGTGACCAGCGGCCCCCATAACCTGGCGGCCTCCTCTGCCAACCCGCTGGACCGCTCTATTGCGGCCTCCTGCTGCCCCGTCGTCCACGGCGTGAGCCCCCCCCAAAAAAAAATTCTGGGTGTCTCTCCGCCCCGTGAACCAGGCCTCCCTATCTCTCGCCAGACTCTCACCCCACTGCTCCAAAGTCCAACCTCTCTGCTCTTCACTTGGCTTGGCCCAGTCGAGACTCTTCCTCCACTGCTCCCAAGTCCACCCTCTCTGCTCTTCACTTGGCTTGGCCCAGTCGAGACTCTTCCTCCACTGCTCCCAAGTCCAACCTCTCTGCTCTTCACTTGGCTTGACCCAGTCGAGGTTGCAACGGAGATCCGCTAGAGATTCCCCTGGCGATGGCTCCTGGACACACTGCTTGGTCCAGTTTTGGTGGGATCTTCTGTCACGATCGTCGTATACAGAGGACCAATGCGCAGCGTTATTTGCGAACATGCTTTTATTATTGATACACGAACAAAATAACAAAAACGATACGTGACGTCCAAAGGTGCAAACCACAAACCTACAACAGGAACAAGATCCCACAAACACTGTGGAAAAACAGATTGGTTCCCAATCAGAGACAACCAGCAACAGCTGACACTCGTTGCCTCTGATTGAGAACCACTCTGGCCAACATAGAAACACAATACAAGAACTATACCCTAGAAACACAAAACTAGAACAACATAAAGAACACTCACACCCTGGCTCAACATACAAGCGTCCCCAGAGCCAGGGCGTGACATTTCCTCAATTTGTCTGTCATAGTTGACGTGTACATATGATGAAAATTACAGGCCTCTCTCATATTTTTAAGTGGGAGAACTTGCACAATTGGTGGCTGACTAAATACTTTTTCCCCCCACTGTAGGTGATCAAATACTTATGTCATGCAATAAAATGCAAATTAATTACTTAAAAATCATACAATGTGATTTTCTGGATTTTGTTTTAGATTCCGTCTCTCACAGTTGAAGTGTACCTATGATAAAAATTACAGACCTCTACATGCTTTGTAAGTAGGAAAACCTGCAAAATCGGCAGTGTATCAAATACTTGTTCTCCCCACTGTAACTGTGAAGGAACATGACAGCCTGTTAAGTTTTCTGCTCCGATACACTGAACACGTTTGGGTTGAAAAAACAACAAAACCTGTGTTGTGTACCTAGCTCCAGAGGTGTAAGAAACCTCACATAACACGTAACTTGTTTATTACATTCTGACACATTAGCCTCGTGAAATTCGGTCTCTCAAGCCAGTGGAAATAACTAACAGTCAGTGGTACACATACACAGTATTTTCGAGGATGTTAAAATAATTATATTTGCAAAAATGTTCCTCCTATCTATCTATGCCTGCCTGCCTGCCTGCCTGCCTGCCTGCCTGCCTGCCAGCCTGCCTGCCTGCCTGCTACTGCCTAAAAACAAGGCAGTAGCAGCAATGTTAACATTTTTACTGTATGATCTATTTCAGTCAGGGTCAAGCAGGGTCAAAATGAATAGAGAATTAGAGAAAGTTCACTCAGCAAGCAGTAATAGAAACCTGCTGTATTTTTGGCCAATAAAACCTAGATGAATTACCTTTGGGACTTTAAAAGCTTCCTCTCCTCTTAGTGTTATCAGACTAGATGGAACGCAGAACGTCCTCTCCCTTTACTTCTATCAGAGATAGTAACCCTAAGGTCAGACAACGGTTGTGTCCCAAATGGCACCCTATTCCCTATTTAGTGCACTACTTTTGACTAGAGACCTATGGGGCAGGCCCTGGTCAAAAGTAGTACACTATATAGGGAATAGGGTTCCATTTTGGAGTGGTCATCAGGGCAGCATCAGCCCCACTCAAAACTAACCCAGGAGTATATTGAGACAGTAGGCTTGAGGGATCCTTCCCACACTAGATACCTGTACATGGTTTCCACATCAGGATAGACATGACTAACTCCTGTACTTACTGCTTACTATTTATTTGAAGCATGACTTACATGAGTGGTCCTCTGTAGCTCAGCTGGTAGAGCACGGCGCTTGTAACGCCAAGGTAGTGGGTTCGATCCCCGGGACCACCCATACACAAAAATGTATGCACGCACGACTGTAAGTCGCTTTGGATAAAAGCGTCTGCTAAATGGCATATTATTATTATTATTATGAGACTTACTCCACAAACATCTTAGCAACTCTTGCCCCACAAAGAAATACGTTTTAATTCAACAGGATGATCAAATTAAGATCTGTATGTTTGCATCCCAAATGGCACCCTATTCCCTATATAGTGCATCACTTTTGACCGAGGCCCTGGTCAAAAGTAGTGACCTATCTAGGGAATGGGAGTTTCTGGCTTTGTCTTGAAGAATGAATGAATGGCTGTAAAAGATAATAGTGTTTTATGACACAATTCATTCTGTTCCAAGGACAGTCAGTCAGGCACAAGTGCAGTTTTTCCTTTCACACGCTAGCCTACTATCTAGTAAAACCTCCAAACCAGGCCAAACGTCCAGGTCAACTGTAGCCTAAATAGTTACCCTCTGGGACCCTTTTCCCTATTTAGTGTACTACTTTATAGGGAATAGGGTGTCATTTGGGATGCACATAAAGACAGAAATCTTGAATCTGGGTCCATTAGTCTTTTGCTTGTGTAGTTAATTGCTTTAGGCGCCACTAAAGCAGTCAGGTTTTCAGAGTGCTAGCCCGGTGAGAGAGAGGGCGGCCTGAAGCCGGATTTCTTATTCGATTAATGGCTAACCTCCCTACCCCCCTAACATCCCATCTCTTCCCCGCTACATTCAGAGAGCAAGTCAGGTTTTTCTTGGAAAGTGTACACTGGTACCTCAGTTCCTCACACTGCGCAGTCTGTCTCTCGGTGTGTATCCTGACCAGGGATATCAAAGGCATGTGAGCTCGGGTCAACCAGCTTCTCCTCTCCCTTTAGCCTCAATCCCCAGCTTGACATGTCAGACGTCACCTACCGTTCAAGATGGGTGCTAGTCAGAACAGAGGCCATTTAACCCCTACTGGTTAGGGTACTTTGTTGTTTCTGATGTTATCAACGTTGTGTATGAAATCTCTATCTGTATGGCTTACTGAAGGAGCCTCTGGAGAACATGTGGGAGTATGTATGACCTATACATATTGTAGTAATGGGATAAAGACACATAAAGTACTGCATTCATTCTAGACCAAACATGCCGTGATATTTCGATTGCTCTCTGTCTCGTCTTCCTCTCTCTCACCCTCTCTTTCTCACTCTCTCTCTCTTCCTCTCTCTCCCTTGATGCTAACCTAATCTTCCATATACTGCACTCTCACACACACAGCATGGATATCACAGCAGTGCTGTTACAACATCTTTGTTTTGGGATTTTGGATGTTATATGAGGACAGTGTTATGTGATCTTTCTTTCCTGTCCTTTGAAGTAAGCCATAGAGTCTACGCCTCCTTTAGTGCTGGGTTGGCTGCCATCTGTCTCCCAGTTTGCATAATAGGGGTGCTGCTGGCAGCCAGGGTGTTCTTAATACCAACGGTCCAACCATCAACACTGCTTATGTAACTGTGGAGGGAGTTGGCACAGGGCCTTAATAGTCCCTGCAGCCCTTCCATCCATCTATCCAGACCCCAAGTCAACAAAACACACACCTCCCTCTCCTCCCTCATGTCAGTGGCTAAGAATACATATTCTCAGAGACACTGTATATAATAACGAGATGGTCTTGTCTCCGCAATAACAATTGGAGTTGTTATCGCAAAGGCGGAAAGGCAGGCGGTCTGCTTATTAAGCCCAATAAGCCCATAGATGCGCATTGAATAATTCTCAATTTCCGCGTGGACAGATTGTGACGGGAGTAAACCCTCTCGCTTCGCCTCTTCTTCTCTGATATTTTCCAGCCAAACAAAGAGAGAGGAGACATTTAGCGACCCCAATTCAAATTTTACACCCCTGTAGTGCAACAACAATACCTTTGGGAGATGTGTAGGCCTACTGTATTCAGGATAGGAAATAAACCAGATCAACACTAGATTAGGTTAATGTTAAAATGTTATGCATTGTCATAGGCCATATAAATATGGCACAACAATTTAAATGATGTATTTGGTTATGTTGCATATCTTAAGGTGCAACATCTATGAGGTGTCTGTGTTTTGTCAGTGAGTTGATACAGCAGTGAGCAGCAGTGGAAAAACAGGATAAAGACCTTGTTGTATGATATCCACCCAAGTGGCATTCTCTGTCGGTGCTCTAATCTCTTTCTAGGAAATACCAGAGACCCCACTATACTATAGCATTCCAGACTAGCCAAGATTGCTCACTACTAAGTCAACATAGCATGTGTGATCACTTAATCACTTTTACTTCTAATTCACATTCTGGTATTCCCTATTATTCCTGACATTTTTTCTATGTGAGTAATAATAATAATATGAATACAGTTAATTTATAACACAGTTTTCATTAAAAAAACAATCCCAAAGTGCTACGTAATTAAACAATAGGAGTTAATTGGATACAGGTTTTGGATGAGTCAACATAATAATAATCAATCCGTAATCAGTGTCACGCCCTGGCTCTAGGGACTCTTTTATGTTGAGCCAGGGTGTGTAGAGTCTATGTTTTGTGCTCTTTGTTTTCCATTCTAGGTCTTGTATTTCTATGTTGGCCAGAGTGGTTCCCAATCAGAGGCAACGAGTGTCAGCTGTTGCTGGTTGTCTCTGATTGGGAACCATATTTAAACAGTCTGTTTTCCCTCAGTGTTTGTGGGATCTTGTTCCGTGTTTCCTGTGTAGGTTTGTATTCGCACTTTTGGACGTCACGTATCGTTTTTGTTGTTTTGTTCGTGTAAACATTTAAATAAATATAAGTATGTTTGCATTCAACGCTGCGCATTGGTCCTCTGTTCCCGACGATCGTGACAGAAGATCCCACCAAAACTGGACCAAGCAGCGTGTCCAGGAGCCATCGCCAGGGGAATCGCTAGCGGATCTCCGTGGCAACCTCGACTGGGTCAAGCCTAGTGAAGAGCAGAGAGGGTGGACTTGGGAGCAGTGGAGGAAGAGTCTCGACTGGGTCAAGCCATGTGAGGAGGAGAGAGGCTGGAGTTGGAAGCAGAAGAGCGAGAGTTGGGCGAGAACTATAGAGGCCTGGCCCACTGGGAGGAGAGACCCCCAGAAATTTTTTAGGGGGGGGCTCACGCCGTGGACGACGGGGCAGCAGGAGGCCGCGATGGAGCGGTCCAGCGGGTTTGCAGAGGAGGCCGCCAGGTTAAGGGGGCCACTGGTCACAGAGGAGAGGGAAAGTGTGGAGGCACGGCGAGAGGTACTGGGGTGTGTTACCAGTCCGGTCCGGCCCGTTCCTGATCCCTGCATAGGGCCAGTGGTGTGTGTCCCCAGTACGGTCCGGCCTGTTCCTGTTCCTCGCATCGAGCCTGTGGTGCGTGTCGTCAGCCCGGCCCGGCCTGTTCCTGCTCCCCGCACCGAGCCTATGGTGCGCGTCGCCAGCCCGGCCTGTTCCTGCTCCCCGCACCAAGCCTATGGTGCGCGTCGCCAGCCCGGCCCGGCCTGTTCCTGCTCCCCGCACCGGGCCTATGGTGCACGTCGCCAGCCCGGTCCGGCCTGTTCCTGCTCCCCGCACCAAGCCGATGGTGCGCGTCGCCAGTCCGGCCCGGTCTGTTCCTGCTCCCCGCACCGAGCCTATGGTGCGCGTCGCCAGCCCGGCCCGGCCTGTTCCTGCTCCCCGCACCGAGCCTATGGTGCGCGTCGCCAGCCCGATCCGGCCTGTTCCTGCTCCCCGCCGATGGTGCGCGTCGCCAGTCCGGCCCGGTCTGTTCCTGCTCCCCGCACCAAGTCAGTGGTGCGCGTCGCCAGCCCGGCCCGGTCCATTCCTGCTCTCCGCACCAAGTCAGTGGTGCGCTTCGTCAGCCCGGCTCGGCCTGTTCCTGCTCCCCACACCAAGCCAGTGGTGTGCGTCGTCAGTCCGACACGGCCCGTGCCTGTTCCACCGGTGCCTGGTCCGGTACCGGTCAGCTGCTCCACGTCGGAGCTAGAGCAATCCGCTCCACCAGTGTTCAGTCCAGCTCCGGCCAGCAGGGCCAGACCGGACCAGGGGTACTGTGGGGGGTTAGAGAGGGAGTGGGGATCATGCCCAGAGCCGGATCCGCCGCCAAGGCCCGGTCCCTCCCCCGCCGCCAACACCCGGTCCCTCCCCTGTGGTGTTCTGTTGGCGCGGTCGGAGTCCGCGCCTTTGGGGGGGGGTACTGTCACGCCCTGGCTCTAGGGACTCTTTTATGTTGAGCCAGGGTGTGTAGAGTCTATGTTTTGTGCTCTTTGTTTTCCATTCTAGGTCTTGTATTTCTATGTTGGCCAGAGTGGTTCCCAATCAGAGGCAACGAGTGTCAGCTGTTGCTGGTTGTCTCTGATTGGGAACCATATTTAAACAGTTTGTTTTCCCTCAGTGTTTGTGGGATCTTGTTCCGTGTTTCCTGTGTAGGTTTGTGTTCGCACTTTTGGACGTCACGTATCGTTTTTGTTGTTTTGTTCGTGTAAACATTTAAATAAATATAAGTATGTTTGCATTCAATGCTGCGCATTGGTCCTCTGTTCCCGACGATCGTGACAATCAGGCACGTTACAGAATGCGTTTGGAAGCTAGCAGCACATTTCTGCAGGCTCTTGCATGCTTTAGTTCAGGAATGCCTGAATAAGACATTGGCTCTTCCAGGAAAGCTTCTGAAGTTTCCTAAATCTCTGTATTCTTTATTTTAATGTGTTGTGCTTGCCATGTGGTATAGTGAGTGAGCTCTCTAGTAAACACAGTTGTTTAAGGAGCTGTCAGGGCATCCAAGTGGATAGGCTGTTAGCCATGAGGCTAAATGCACGTACACACCACAATGGGCTGTACTGCAGAGTGGTCTTCAAGATAAACAGGCCAGTCAGGTTGTCAGTCTTCAATCAACAGGAGATACATGGCCCTCTGCTCTGGGGTTCTGATTAAACACACGTGTCCTAACACAGATACACAGATGTATGCGCACACAAGCGAAGGCGCATGTACACAGACTTATGCAGCTGCAACTTAATGACAGTCTGTACCATGCAGTGGGTCTCATCTGTATGAAAACAGAGGCAGGGGAAGCACCCAATCAGATCAGTGGGATCATTATTTAATCTGATCACAGTTTACTCAGAATTTACCTTCAAGGACACTGTCTCCCATCAATTACTGTAATCCTAGAATGTATCACCTGTAGTCGCATCATACTCCTGTCACTGTTATACCAATTCTCCACATAGATACATACAAAATAATTGGTCAAAAGTCCTATGTGGTCTGTGTTGAAAACAGAGGCACCATGTTGGAATCGATGTTCTAGTTTAATTAGTGTTTGGCAGTTGATGGACGTCGGTCGGTGTGGGAACAGGGACAGCTTTTTTGGGGCACCCCTTGCGTGCCTTGCTCTCTGAGATTCTGAGATAGTGTGCTCCCAGTGTTGATAGGGTGCCATTTGGGACGCACACCCTATTTCATATATAGTGCACTACCTTTGACCAGGGCCTTGGTTAAAAGTAGTGCACTATAAAGGGAATAAGGTGCCATTTGGGAGGCAGACAGGACCTGGTAACATGAGTGGCAGCCCCCTTCTCTAAAGGGGAGGGAGGAGTCGTGGTCAGTCAATTGTAAACATAAACATACCGTCAGTGTTTTTCCCAGAACAGCCTCAATGCAGGATTCATGGTTGTAGAAGTCTAGAGGTCTCTCAAGGGTTTTCCAAACAGCTATCCACCCACTGCAGCCTCCCGGCAGCACTACTTCACTAGAGACTCAATCAAACCATTCATACACCTTTAAAATGAAGTGCTTTGTAACACTAAAACTAGTGGCAACTGAGCTGCCACCACCTTAAAGGAGACAAAACCTTAACTTTGCTGGAGTATTTATTGAAACACGTGGTTGTCAGGGTATTGGGACAGATTTAAGATGTATTCAAACATTCAACCTGAGGTGTTCTGAAATATGACATGTTGTGTTGTAACACCACATAATCAAGAGTTGTGCAACACCTTGCCAGAGACTGGGAGCACTAACCTGGAAAAGGTTGAAAACACTATCATGGTTTTGAGAGTCCTGTCTAGTGCAGAATTAGATCCCTTTTTCTGCAGTTTCCAAATACTGTAAGTGGGAGTCCCCCCTCTTATTATATATTCCCTGCTCTTATATGGTGTACTGATAAACTCCTCATCGGTAATTCCAAAAGGTCAAACGTACAGTAAGTATTATGTTCAAACAAAGCACACAAAAATACAAAAGTTGGTCCAGGATAATAATTAATGAGTACAACATTACTTTTTCAAGACATGATTGAAGCTTCAAAAGGTGTATTTTATTTGCAAATTATCAAATGACAAAACATGAAAAATTTTATATTGATAAAGTAAGACAGTTCAAAAATCTGTAAAATATTTATCATATTATTCCTCAAATTCAACTGATATGGCATTATATTTAATGTCCATTAAAAAAAAAATCTGCCAATGACTGCTAATGTTAGCAGTAGCACACATACAAAACTTGTACAAAAGTTCAGCCTAGGGCTCAATGCGATCCATCGTTCATCCATTATGCTAATGTTTCTGACCCGAGTGTTTATATTCAGATGATGGTGAATGGCATGGAAGGTTGTTCAGATGAATTGAATCACAATACAGTTGAGTTAGATGATATGATTGACAGTTGACCGTTCAGTTGGCATTAGTCTTCATTGGCTTTAATTAGGATTGGCCAGCCAGTGGATAGAATAAGTGATTAAGCTATGCAAATATAGCAACAACATAACAATATTAATGTCAAAAGTGGGATGCAATAACATGTGTTGTGGTAGGCCAAAGCTAGAGCAGGCTAAAATGTCAGTGGCTATGTAGTGTAGCATGTAGGGTATAGATCAAAGAGTAGATCAAACTCAAATCTAGTAGGCAAACAAGCCAGCAGTATTAACTAAAAAGCAGGCCTTAATTTGCATAAAACACAAGTGCACGAAAGGTGCAAACAATGACGTGTCAATTAACAACTTCATGTAGCATCAAGAAAACTAATCAATGAATCAAAAGGACTGTTTTACTTGGACTATTAGCATTAGCAGCCGAAATGCTACACAAAACAAATGTTCTTATTGAGTGAATTCCTTTTCGGTTTCTTTCTTCAATGTGATAACATTGTATACTCACGTTTTCATTGACACATACTTCTTAGATTTTTTTGGGACAGTTCATCTGAGCATTTGGTGTGCTCTCACCTGTCTGAGTTCGTGAACGATTCGAATACAGAGGCGCCCGCAAACTTGCCTGTTTTTATACTTGACCATAGAGTTTGCTGGAGGGCACACCTGCCACAAATGCCGTCTCTCCACCTCCAGACTGGGGGAATTCTGAACAGTACGTCAGCACAATGTTTGAAGTTCACATTTTGCCTTTAATCTAAACATTTGGCTTCTGATATGTTAAGTTCCTCACATGGTGTGTGGTTGAGTGGGTAAAATTCCAAATAAATTTGGCATCTTGCTTCCCCAACTGTCAGGGGTTAAATTCCTGCTTCCGCCTGTCCAACTTTAACTCCTTCTCTGTCTCCTTCTGTTTCTAATCTGTCTAAACAAAACACAGAAAAAATATAGGTTGAATTTCACAAAGTCCATGTTAAGTCTAATTATCTGAAGTCTGAATGTGCTCAGCATAACAAAGGTGGTTCACCACAACAGTTTAGCCCTGAAGACTGGCTGAGTGGACTAAGGGAGTGTGTTGACAAGCAGGACACCTGGGTTCAGGGAGGCAGGGAGCCTAGCGGTTAAGAGTGTTGGGCCAGTAACAGACAGGTTGCTGGTTTGAATCCCAGAGCCGACCAGGTGAAAAATGTGACCCTGAGCAATGCCCTAATCGCTCTGGATGAGAGCATCTGCTAAATTACTAAAATGTTCACATCCACCTTCTCACATGAATACCAGTGATGAAGGCCCACCTCATGTTACCTCTGCTATAACCTACATAGTCCTAAGCATTTTGATTGTAACATTATTTATAATATCACAAAGTTGCCTGGCAGCTGTAGCTTATAATTAGTGCCAAAGTCTGCTCTAAGAACATTATTCAATTCCCAGTGTTTTCTTAAAAATATTGACTGAAAATTAAATCATTATTTATAATCAATCAATATTTATGCTATAAACCATTTGCAATTTAAAACCATTTGATTATATGAGAGACACGGACTGCTAAAACATTATTTTTGTGTTTTGTTGCTGCCTTTTAAATGCACTGAAACACCAAAAAGTACTTCCATTCTGTTTTGAAATACATTCAGTGTATCATTACATTGGGTTTACATTCAAACACCCTCCAAAAACATCAGATCTCAGCTTAGGTGCACTACTTTTCATGGTTTCAGTACACAATGATGGTGTTTTGAGTCTTTCTATTTTAACAGTGTACCACAAAAATGGCTTTATTCACCCACCTACCCACCGTGATTACACTGGATTTGGTTCAATTTCTCACAGCTTTTGGAAACCTCCTTTTAAAATGTGTAGAAATCACAGTTCAAGTTTCTATGGAAAAATATGATTGTAACACTGGAATCTGGTTCAGCAAGATGAACGACCAACTTGGGGTTTTTCACAGAAAAGCGTATTAGTGCGGTAAAATAACTCTGTCAGTGGTTCTGTTTTTTCTCTTCATTTAGAACACACACATTTTCATATTTTTCAACACAGCTTGATAAGCTTATTAATTCTGTATTGAGTCTTGATAATAAACTATAGTCACAAAGTCAGGCCTGAGGGATGGGGTGTGTTGTGTTTGTTCCCTGCAATATGCTCTGCCAATAGAATGGAATTCTGACTGTGTATGTAATCATTCTAGAATATACCTATGTTTTGTTCCGTGCAGACGCGTAAGCTGACCAAAGTGGAGCGGCAGAGGTTCAGCGAGGAGGTTGAGATGCTGAAGGGTCTGCAGCACCCAAACATCGTCCGCTTCTATGACTCCTGGAAGGACAACTCCAAGGGCCTCAAGTGCATCCTTCTGGTCACCGAGCTCATGACTTCAGGCACCCTCAAAACGTGAGCTTGTCCTTCCTGCCCCAACCTGGCCCCAATCCACGTTGTAGTAGAGGAGACTGTTGTGCCTGTTTTGCCACATTTCCTCTACACATTCCTCCTTAGAAATTCATAGCATTTTAATATTTTCTATCTTTTATCATGATCATAGAATCTTCATATAAAACAAGGATTGATAAAATAGTTTTCCATGTAAACTCAAAGATGGGTTCCTGATAGTCCTCTCTGGTCTGGCCTGTACTGTAGGTAATGAAGGAGAACAGTTAGTATATGAACCTCTTTAGATGACGCATCCTAATAGACTGTGTTTACCTGCAGGTACCTGAAGAGGTTCAAGGAGATGAAGCTGAAGCTGCTGCAGCGCTGGAGCCGTCAGATCCTGAAGGGGCTCCACTTCCTCCACACCCGCACCCCTCCCATCATCCACAGGGACCTCAAGTGTGACAACATCTTCATCACCGGCCCCACCGGCTCCGTCAAGATAGGAGACCTGGGCCTGGCCACACTCAAAAGGGCCTCCTTCGCTAAAAGTGTCATTGGTGATCCTATAATTTAATTTAGTTCAATATGTAATTCTATGTTGGTGAGTGTTTAAGGTCTGTTGTTGTCACTATGGGGTTCACCCAACTGGGGTCATCTAGTTTTAGGGATTCATTTCAAGTTTTAGTTTTTTCAAGTTTAGGGCCATTGCCTTTGAGTGCCCTTTCTAGATATTCATTATTATATCACTCTGCCACAGATTCCAACCCTATGATGCATGTCCTGTGTAGTCAAATGTCTGTCCCCTACAGAAGATTTGTTTGTGTAAATCTGTTTGTCGGTGTGTGTGTGTATGTGTTCTTGTGACTGGTATTTACTTGTCTCTCTCCTCTCCTCCAGGTACCCCAGAGTTCATGGCTCCAGAGATGTATGAAGAGAAGTATGATGAGGCTGTGGATGTGTATGCCTTTGGGATGTGTATCCTGGAGATGGCCACCTCAGAGTACCCCTACTCTGAGTGCCAGAATGCAGCGCAGATCTACCGTAAAGTCACCAGCGTAAGTGGGAATATATGCAATTAGGCAGACCCTTTTATCCAAAGCGACTTACAGTAAGTAGTGCATGTACACATTTTCGTATGGGTGGCCCCTGCGGGAATCAAACTTAAAACCCCAGTGTTGCAAATGCAAACGCCATGCTCTACCAACTGAGCCACACAGGACCATAATCCCACACAGAGTGGGACTCTCCTCTCTCTATGCAGTGTTCTTCAATAGCGTAATTGTACACACATGTTTGCTTTCCTCCCCTTGCACAATGGAAGAGACAAAATAACCTTCTGGATGTCCTGCAGATGTAGGATCTTAATTTGGCCTGTATTGTCGCAGCCAAATAATCCTTCAGCAACAGGATTTTAACGTTTAGTCCATAATGTTGCTTGATCGGTGGTTAGGCTATTACCTGGTCAAAATGAGGTTACATGAAAAGTGGAATACTGTTAATTTAACCGTGTGTTGGTGTAGGTTTTCAGTTAATTTATGTAAATCACAAAGCTCATCTGCATTTCCTGCAGCGCAGAACAATTTGCAGGAACAAAATAGTGATCAAATGAAGATCCTACATTTGTAGATGTCTTGATGAAGTCTTGATGTTAAGACTCCACTCTCCAAATTTTTGTTAAAAGTCCAATGCAGCCGTTTTTATCTCAATATCAAATCCTTTCTGGGTAACAGTTAAGTACCTTACCATGATTGTTTTCCGTTAAAATTGTAAAAAATAAGAAACAAAAATTGCTTCTTAGGAAAGAGCAATTTTTCAAGCAAGAATTTTGCTAGGACTCTGGGAGTGGTTTGAGTGGGGAGGGGAAAACTGAAAACGAACTGTTATTGACAGAGGTTTGGAACTCTCTTTCTTATTGGTCTATTAACCAGGCAGGCCAAAAGTCCATCTCACCAAAACAGGCTGAAATTTCAGGCTATCTTTTCAAACAGCTCTTACACTAAAAGGGCATTATCATAATTTTCACAATTTCACAGTATTATTCCAACCTCATAGTGTGGAAATATGTATAAAACACAGGAAAATCACGTTTTTGATTGCACTGGGCCTTTAATTATAAGCTCAATATGCATTACCATGTTGTAGTGTTGTAGCATTATGCCGTCTCTCTTCTGACCCGCAATTATGACTCATAATAGATTATATTTAACTCAGTGATTCCGAGCTCGTTCTATGCTTCTACTTTTGCAAAGATCCAGACTATTAGAAGCGGGGATCTATTAGAAGAAGGGGTTGGAACCTAAATTATTTTCCAATCTTTTCATTCTGAACAGGACCATTATTATTTTCGTTCCATTCCACTGTTCCGACCAGCAAAATAAAGTGGGGATAGAGCAAGAGAGGGTGGAGGAAGAGGCTTGGCTTGAAGCGCTGGGCATCTTACCTACGGAGGAACGGCTTCAATGGGGGCTCCTATAGCTAGCTAGCTAACAGGCTTGTGTGTGCAGAGCGACACCAGAATTAAAAACACGTCTTAGTTAGTAAATCCAATGTGAAATGTAGCCTACACGCACACAGACTGCCAAAGATGGCAGGCAAACACTGGAATACGTTTCTGAGTGACAGAGTGAGGGCTTTGCATTGGCGTTTTGTAGCATTTTTTTGTGGGACTGGAAAAAAAAGCCTGGAACGTGAAATAACATTATTAACCGGTTCCCATGCTTTTAAAATAACGGCTCTGTTCCGGAATAGTATAGATCACTTTCGTTCCCGGTTCTGATTCTGTTCCTAGAAAAATGTAGTTATTTTCCAGTTTTGGGTTCTGTTCCCTGAACTGGCGCAAACTCTGTGGCTACGTCTCAAATGACACCCTATTCCCTAAATGGGCCCGGTCAAAGGTAGTGCACTGTATAGGGAATAGGGTGCCATTTGGGCGCATACTACTCTCAAAACCTTATTAAAGTAATCCAGAAGTAAGTAACTTGATGAAAGGCCAAGCTTCTCCCTGACAGAGGTGTTTACTACTCAGAGAGGGAGTCAGTAATGACAGGAACCTCCACATTGAGAGCTGTGTTCTTGGGCTTTGGGCTGGAGCATACAGGGTGGTGACGCCACAGTGGGTTTGGGCAGGCGATGGTAGAATTATGTGTTTTGAAAATGACGTCTGCCTTCTACACAAACAGCGCCTTTCTCTCTCTCTCTCTCTTTCTTGAGACGGACAGCAGAGCAAACAGAGCCTTTTAGAGGCTGTAGAGTGGGAGTGAGGGTGACAATGCCAGAGATCCAGTCTGAGAGAGTGTGTATGGGTCATAAGTGCAGGTTACTGTAGGCATCTCTGATCGGTCGCCACTCGACATCCATAATGTCAATGTTCCATAAACAACTAAAAGGACCTACTCAGGGGAGTCTGGGGCCTTTACCTGGCAGATTACCGCTGCTAGTCTGAACACGTTTTAAATATAATGTCATGTTTTAACATAATAAACTGTTAGATTCACAAGCAGAGACATTATGACCACTGTGCAAGTATGCAGTGCATTAGAACAGAGTCAGATCAAAAGAGAATACTCAATTGGTTTGCTTGCTTGTATACTGTCTGTTCCTTTGTTAAATTGATAAGCCATAGGGATATTGTAATTATAGTGGAGGCCAATTGAAGGTCAGTGTCCTTTGTGGTCCTTTCTTGTTATCAAGTGTTTGGAAGAGTTGAAGCGATGTAGAGAAAAGGGTCCTTTACAATCACAATTATCTCCAGATAATAGTGATATTCAGAGCATTGATGTTATGTAACATACTGTCACGCTGTGTATGTTTCCAGATAATACAGTATCTGATGCATTTACAAAGAGAACCCATTGACTTGTTCCTACTTCAGGGAACAGTATCATCTCATCCAGGCATGAAATGAGAATATCACACTCTTAGATACAGTCCATTCCTGCCATCCATAGTCTCACAGCTCAATCTTCTGTCTCAGTATAAATAGGCTATCAAGGAAAACACAGGCCTGTGTCTGCCCCTTGGCAAATCACAAACTCAGAAGGCAAACATAACAAGTCAACATTGTTGCACAATTACAACAATGTATACCAGCTAACCAACCAAACCAGACAACCTTTATTTACCCAACGGTTTTATTTTAATGTTAGAATAAACATGGGGTAACATTAGGACAGCTGTGATGTTAACCTTGGCTGTTTAAAACACGAGGGGATTTGCTCCAATCTCTTATCAGTGTTGTCTCAGGTAGATTGAAACAGTTGCAGACCCATAATTCACTGCTCGCTGCGCTGCACCGGGGTGGGTGATGAGAGACAGAGGTCTGCATTCTTTTTGTAGCCACACTGCCCTTTAAAAGGACAACACTAACACGAACAGAAAATAGACTCTTTGGTCTTTTCCATTTCCATTTCCATGTCCCCCCCATTCACTGTTGTGGGTTCACTCATGAGGGAGGAATGTCTGACATGTTTCTGTCAGGCAACATCTGAGAAAGGGTCACAGTATGTGCAATCTATACATTCCCCTATGTTACTCCTATGTCCCCTAGGTTACCATAGGTTACCTTCCATTTTAAACCAAGCAGGTAAATAACCAATGCTAACCAGATTGCTTCTCCTCGCAGGGGATGAAACCAGACAGTTTTTACAAAGTCAAGGTCCCAGAGCTCAAAGAGATCATCGAAGGATGTATCCGGATGGACAAAGATGAAAGGTATTGGGCTATTGGGCTTCTCATAATATCCTTACATTACATAAAACATGAGATATTACACAAATGGTGAAATGAAATTCCAGTCGTTCTGCTAAGAAAACTATATATCAAATCCTTTGGTGTACAATTAATGTGTCAAATTAAAAGGAATTGAATAGTTATATTATTCCTTTACCTCAGGTACACCATCCAGGATCTGCTGGAGCACATGTTCTTCCAGGAGAACAATGGCGTCCATGTTGAGTTGGCTGAGGAGGACGACATGGTGAAGTCAGGCCTGAAGCTGTGGCTCCGCATGGACTACACCAAGAAACTCCACGGGAAGTACAAGGACAACAACGCAATCGAGTTCCTGTTCGAACTCTACAAGGACGTGCCAGAGGAGGTGGCGCAGGAGATGGTGAGCAGCTCACGTTTCAAGTTGCAAGTTTATTTACCATATTGCATGTAATACATGCACTGTAAATCTTACTCAGAGCAGAGCTCTCAGCAGAGCATTGAAAACAGTAAGAAAGCCATGATATTGGTATACTGTATCCACTCCCTTTGGTACCACTCATGAGGTGATAACTGTTTCAGTAATAGGCCATGTGGGAAAGCAATATGGCCTACCACTGGGTATCTTCCCACAACACTTGATCTTTGCAGTTACCTAACATCATGTCCTCTTTTACCTTTACTTCCCCTACATTAATGATTAAAAGAAGAGTTTCCAGTTGTGGCTCTCACAAGCTAAGGACCGGTGGAAACAGCTAAGTGTAATACTATAGCTATTATGCAAGTAGATAGTAGAATCAGCTTACATATTGTTGGAGTGTCGGTGTTGTACACATCCATTCTTATTTTTAGAGACAAACAAAAAAGTGACTCTTACATATCCAGACACTGTATGTATAGATAGCAAACCATGCAGTGGTGTTAATGAGTACAGGATGAGTTGAAGAAGGAATATCCTGTATAGATTCAGATGATATAGATATCCTATTTGCAACAGACCCCAACCAGCAACATAGTTTATGATTTGATTACAATCATGGACATACACTGACATATGCTTAGGCTGCAGACAGCGTAGTGTGTTAAGGGCACAGGTCAGAGTTTAATCATCAGCGGTAGAAATGTGAGAGGAGAGCGTGGCTCAGGAAGATAGCAGAGGTCAGGGCTTTAATAATATAATGGCTGTCTCTCGGACGGGATGCATTACGAAACAGCTTCTCCTTGGTTGTGTCCCAAATGGCACCCTATTCCCTGTATAGTGCACAACTTTTGACCAGGGCCCACACACTAGGGTGCCATTTGGGACGTAGCACTTGTGTCCTCCAGCCCCTTTAGCAGAGGTCACTTTTAATGAGAAGGACCCGGCCTGGCCACCAGCCACAATTCCATACCTGTTGCCTTTTCATCAAGATCCCATATATTATCATCCAGAACAGGGTTTCCCAAAGTCGGTCCTGGGCCCCCCCCCGGGTGCACGTTTTTTACCCTAGCACTACACAGCTGATTCAAATAACCAACTCATCATCGAGCTTTGATTATTTGAATCAGATGTGTAGTGCTAACAGCGTAATCTGACTAGGTGTTGAGCGAGGGTATAGAGAGAGGAGGGAGGCAAATGACCAACTTTCGTTACATCCCAAATGGCACCCTATTCCCTATATCAGGGGTGTCAAACTCATTCCACGGAGGGCCGAATGTCTGCGGGTTTTTGTTTTATCCTTTCAATTAAGACCTAGACAATCAGGTGAGGGGAGTTCCTTGCTAATTAGTGACCTTAATTCATCAATCAAGTACACGGGTGAAGCGAAATCCCGCAGACACTCGGCCCTCCGTGGAATGAGTTTGACACATGTGCCCTATATAGTGCACTACCTTTGACCAGAGCCCTATGGGCCCTGGTCAAAAGTAGTGCACTATATAGGAAATAGGGTGCCATTTGGGACGCAGCCCTTGTCCTCCTGGCCGATCTGAGACTGGAACACTGTGTTCTGAGTGGGACAGGTTTGGATGTAACACCATCCTTTAAAGGCCTACTCTGTGATTTACAGCTGTATCTTTTACATTGATTCTTGAAGCATATCAAAGGGCCTCAGATCAAATCAAAATCAAATCAAATGTTATTGGTCACATACACATATTTAGCAGACGTTATTGTGGGTGTAGCAAAACGCTTGTGTTTCTAGCTCCAACAGTGTGGTAATATCTAACAATTCACAACAACACACACAATACACACAAATCTAAAAGTAAAAGAATGGAATTAAGAAATATATAAATATTAGGATGAGCAATGTCGGAGTGGCATAGACTAAAGTACAGTAGAATAGAATACAGTATATACATATGAGATGCGTAAAGCAAAAATATGTAAACATTATTAAAGTGACTAGTTTTCCATGATTAAAGTGGCCATTGAGTTCAAGTCTATGTATATAGGGCAGCAGCCTCTAAAGTGCAGGGTTGAGTAACCGGGTGGAAGCCGCTTAGTGATGGCTATTTAACAGTCTGATGGCCTTGAAATAGAAGCTGTTTATCAGTCTCTCGGTCCCAGCTTTGATGCACCTGTACTGACCTCGCCTTTTGGATGATAGCGGGGTGTACAGGCAGTGGCTCGGGTGGTTGTTGTCCTTGATGATCTTTTTGGCCTTCCTGTGACATCGGGTGCTGTAGGTGTCCTGGAGGGCAGGTAGTTTGCCCCCGGTGATGCGTTGGGAAGACCGCACCACGCATCAGCCCCTACATACATAGACAGCATCTGCTCAATACATATTGATTATCTACACAGCAAATTACAAGACTAGCGTTCTGTCCAGGGGGTGTACAGGTCTACTATTTTTTAATTTGATCACTGTTGTCGCAGATAATTTTTCTGCGCAGCAGGAAATGCAAACATGTAGTGTATTCAAGCTTTAAAAAGACTTCTAAAGTTTGTAATTTTCCCTTTAAATTGTCAGACATCAACCCCTACAAAAATTTAAATTTATTATAATCCACATGTCCTGTTGCTGCAGGATTATTTTCCTGCTGTGAGAAACTGGTCAAATTAAGATAGCATATACAGTGGGGAAAAAAAAGTATTTAGTCAGCCACCAATTGTGCAAGTTCTTCCACTTAAAAAGATGAGAGAGGCCTGTAATTTTTATCATAGGTACACGTCAACTATGACAGACAAAATGAGCAAAAAAAATCCAGAAAATCACATTGTAGGATTTTTTATGAATTTATTTGCAAATTATGGTGGAAAATAAGTATTTGGTCAATAACAAAAGTTTCTCAATACTTTGTTATATACCCTTTGTCGGCAATGACACAGGTCAAACGTTTTCTGTAAGTCTTCACAAGGTTTTCACACACTGTTGCTGGTATTTTGGCCCATTCCTCCATGCAGATCTCCTCTAGAGCAGTGATGTTTTGGGGCTGTCACTGGGCAACACGGACTTTCAACTCCATCCAAAGATTTTCTATGGGGTTGAGATCTGGAGACTGGCTAGGCCACTCCAGGACCTTGAAATGCTTCTTACGAAGCCACTCCTTCGTTGCCCGGGTGGTGTGTTTGGGATCATTGTCATGCTGAAAGACCCAGCCACGTTTCATCTTCAATGCCCTTGCTGATGGAAGGAGGTTTTCACTCAAAATCTCACGATACATGGCCCCATTCATTCTTTCCTTTAAACGGATCAGTCGTCCTGGTCCCTTTGCAGAAAAACAGCCCCAAAGCATGATGTTTCCACCCCCATGCTTCACAGTAGGTATGGTGTTCTTTGGATGCAACTCAGCATTCTTTGTCCTCCAAACACGACGAGTTGAGTTTTTACCAAAAAGTTATATTTTGGTTTCATCTGACCATATGACATTCTCCCAATCCTCTTCTGGATCATCCAAATGCACTCTAGCAAACTTCAGACGGGCCTGGACATGTACTGGCTTAAGCAGGGGGACACGTCTTGCACTGCAGGATTTGAGTTCCTGGCGGCGTAGTGTGTTACTGATGGTAGGCTTTGTTACTTTGGTCCCAGCTCTCTGCAGGTCATTCACTAGGTCCCCCCGTGTGGTTCTGTGATTTTTGCTCACCGTTCTTGTGATCATTTTGACCTCACGGTGTGAGATCTTGCGTGGAGCCCCAGATCGAGGGCGATTATCAGTGGTCTTGTATGTCTTCCATTTCCTAATAATTGCTCCCACAGTTGATTTCTTCAAACCAATTTGCTTACCTATTGCAGATTCAGCCTTCCCAGCCTGGTGCAGGTTTACAATTTTGTTTCTGGTGTCCTTTGACAGCTCTTTGGTCTTTGCCAAAGTGGAGTTTGAAGTGTGACTGTTTGAGGTTGTGGACAGGTGTCTTTTATACTGATAACAAGTTCAAACAGGTGCCATTAATACAGGTAATGAGTGGAGGACAGAGGAGCCTCTTAAAGAAGAAGTTACAGGTCTGTGAGAGCCAGAAATCTTGCTTGTTTGTAGGTGACCAAATACTTATTTTCCACCATAATTTGCAAATAAATTCATCAAAAATCCTACAATGTGATTTTCTGGATTTTTTTTTCTTAATTTGTCTGTCATAGTTGATGTGTACCTATGATGAAAATTACAGGCCTCCCTCATCTTTTTAAGTGGGAGAACTTGCACAATTGGTGGCTGACTAAATACTTTTTTCCCCCACTGTATGTGTACTTAAGTACACCAAGCTGTCTCATGCTACAGAAACAGGAGGTAGGCTCCTTCCCTATGAGCCTTTCTACATTTACATTTGAGTCAATCAAGTACAAGGGTTGAGCAAAAACACACAGACACTCGTGCCTTGCTCAAGGGCACATCAACAGATTTTTCACCTAGTCGGTCAGGTTTTCAAACCAGCGACCTTTCAGTTACTGGCCCAGCGCTCTTAACCGCTAGGCTACTGACCACCCATTGGCTCAGACAAGGCATACACAGTCGTGATGAGCTTGACGTCTTTTCATTTCATGATGTACAGATGTAGGATCTTCATTTTATAACCCTGTTGCAGGAGAATTTAAAACGTGTAGTGTATTCAAGGTTTTAAAAGGCTTCTGAAGTTTTAAACTTCCACTTTGAAATTTCAGACTTGATTTTCCCTTACAAAAAATGTATCAACATAACATAATCCACATAATAATTCACATTTCCTGTTGCTGCAGGATTATTTTCATGCTGTAGCAAATGGGCCGTGAAATGTTCCCTGTTTGTCCCAGTATTGTGCCCTGACTCTGCTATGTCCCTTCCTTGTCTGTCTCCCAGGTGGTGCTGGGCTTCGTGTGCGAGGCCGACTTCAAGCTGGTGGCCAAGGCCATCCGGTACCGTGTCAACGCCATCAAGCGCCAGCGGGAGAAACTGCGCCGCCTCACAGAGAAGAAGAAGGAGGCCATTGAGGAGGAGCCTGAGCCTGCACCGCAGCCGCCCTCCCCGAAAATCAACAGGTCTCCATCAACATTGGAGACTCCTCAGAGCCCCATCCTCGTCCCCACCCCGCCCCCCACCCTGGCCCAAAGCCAGGGTCACCCCCGCCCGAACCCTCTGACCCACACCCTGTCCCCCGTCAACAGCTCTCTGAGCATCAACTTGGGCATCAATGCCAGCTTCATCCCTGAACCAGAGGAACCAGAGGCAGACCAGCACCAGCACTTCCAGGTCCACCACACCAGCTGCTCCTCGGCCAACTGTGAGAACACTTAACTTAACCTTCAGCTGATTTAGGCTGTGTTTGCGTCCCGAATGGCACTGTATTCCCTATATAGTGCACTACTTTTGACCAGGGCCCATAGTAGCGCACTATATAGGGAATGGATAAGAGCGTCTGCTAAAATTACTGAAATGGAAAAATGACTAAAATGTAATAGAGTGCCATTTGGGATGCAGAATTAGACTATATCACATGTCACAGTCTCACTGGTCAACAAGGTCTATTTTCAACCTTGAGACCGGGTGTGGCATTTCAATAGCTCTCTGAGGTTATAAAAGCAATGTCCATTATGGCAGTATTTGGCAGTATTTGTTGATTTCATAACTGTTGTTGTGCTGAATGGCCCTGACTAGGCCCTGAGAGAATGAAATATGAGCCTGAGGATATCTTAATCATTAAGTCCTAGATGGTCTTACCTCTCCAGTTGAGTGTGTGTGTGTGTGTGTGTGTGCGTGCGTGCGTGCGTGTGTTCATGTGATTGTCCTCAAATGTTTTCTAGTGACCAGCAGGAAGACTATTAAAACTCTCTTTGACTGTAGGTCCCAAATAATTCATGTTAATCTAGTTTCGATATTGGAGCTGTGTTCTTCCACATTTGTCATTGTGTACTCACCATGGTGTTAATCAATAGTGAATCCTCTGAGTCCTCTCCGTGTGTGTGTGCACACTAATAAAAAATGCTGGGTTAAAAACAACCCAATTTGGGTTATTTGGTAAACCAGCACTGGGTAAATATTGGACAGAACACACGCTGGGTTATTTTGACTCAGCCAGTTGGGTTGCTAGAATAACCCAACATGTTGGGTTGTTGGAATTAGCCAAACATGGGTTAATTTAACCATCAGTTGGGTTTTTATTCACTTTCATTCTGGGTTGACCCAGCAGCTGGGTCTTTTTAATGTAATCCATAGGTTATTTTCAGGAGGCGTGGCCCATAAGTGGCGTAGCTTTCATGTAGTTATTTTTGGCCAGCCGTGAGAGTAAGTGTAATTCCTGTTAATCATGTTACATTTGTACACTGAACAAAAATTTAAACACAACATGCAATTTCAAAGATTGTACTGAGTTACAGTTCATATAAAGAAATCAGTCAATTGAAATTAATTCATTAGGTCCTAATCTATGGATTTCACATGACATGCATCTGTTGGTAACAGATTCCTTAAAAAAAGGTAGGGGCATGGATCAGAAAACCAGACAGTACCTTGTGTGACCACCATTTGCCTCATGCAACGCGACACATCTCCTCCGCATAGAGTTGATCAGGCTGTTGGTTGGGTTGTGGCCTGTGGAATGTTGTCCCACTCCTCTTCAATGGCTATGCGCAGTTGCTTGATATTGGCGGGAACTGGAACACGCTGTCGTACACGTCGATCCAGAGCGTCCCAAACATGCTCAATGGGTGACATGTCTGGTGAGTATGCAGGCCATGGAAGAACTGGGACATTCCATCTTCCAGGAATTGTGTACAGATCCTTGCGACATGGGGCCATGCATTATTATGCTGAAACATGAGGTGATGGCGGCGGATGAATGGCAAGACAATGGGCCTAAGGATCTCGTCACGGTATCTCTGTGCATTCAAATTGCCATTGATAAAATGCAATTGTGTTCGTTGTCCGTAGCTTATGCCTGCCCATACCATAACCCCACCGCCACCATGGGGCACTCTGTTCACAACGTTGACATCAGCAAACCGCTCGCCCACAAGACGCCATACAAGCTGTCTGCCATCTGCCCAGTACAGTTGAAACCGGGATTCGTCCGTAAAGAGCACACTTCTCCAGCATTCCAGTCGCCATCTAAGGTGAGCATTTGCCCACTGAAGTCACTTACGACGCCGAACTGCAGTCAGGTCAAGACCCTGTCGAGGATGACGAGCACGCAGTTTGTGCAGAAATTCTTCGGTTGTGCAAACCCACAGTTTCATCAGCTGTCCGGATGGCTGGTCTCAGACGTCCCCGCAGGTGAAGAAGCCAGATGTGAAGGTACTGGGCTGGTGTGGTTACACGTGGTCTGCGGTTGTGAGGCTGGTTGGACGTACTGCCAAATTCTGTAAAACGACGTTGGAGGTGGCTTATGGTGGAAAATTAACATTCAATTATCTGGCAACAGTTCTGGTGGACATTCCTGCAGTCAGCATGCCAATTGCACGCTCCCTCAAAACTTGAGACATCTGTGGCATTGTGTTGTGTGACAAAACTGCACATTTTAGAGTGGCCTTTTATTGTCGCCAGCACAAGGTGCACCTGTGTAATGATCATGCTGTTTAATAAGCTTCTTGATATGCCACACCTGTCAGGTGGATGGATTATCTTGGCAAAGGAGAAATGCTCACTAACAGGGATGTAAACAAATTTGTGCACAAAATTTTAGAGAAATAAGCTTTTTGTGCATTTGGAAAATGTCTGGGATCTTTTATTTCAGCTCAAGAAACATGGGACCAACACTTTTACATGTTGCGTTTATATTTTTGTTCAGTGTAAAATCATTATACATTATTATGTATATATTGTAACAAAGTGGTAACTATCCCAACACTGGGATATGCATAGGCTCTTGAGGAACTTATGTAAGCCTCATTAACGCTACAAAAGTGTCAGTGTTCAACCTTAAAGGGCAATCAGCAGTTGCTAGATCCATTTAGGACTTATTAAATAATGATATGCACCCATTGATTCTTGAAGAATATAACTTATAAATGCCTCATGAGCTTAGTTCAACTATCATACCCCATCAGAACCCAAAATATAAGCTTGTTTTACTACAATGTTTGTAAACAAAGTAAATGTAAACGAACACTGGATCGTCAGTCCTTTCATCCATAGCTCTGTCTATGAATTTGAGAGTGGTTACATTTCTCCAGCCCCATCCCTCAGCTTTTTACCCAGCATCAACAACCCAACCTTTCTATTTTAAAGGAGAACAATCCAACTAAGTGACCCAATGCCTGCAACCCAGCAGTTGGGTCATCCAAACAACCCAGCGTGTGTGTGCGTCACGTCAGTGAATGCGGCCCTGCCTGGTCAGTCACATGCTCATGGCTCATGTCTCATGTGTTTGTTGTAACAGCTGACTGTGAGACAGACGGCTATCTCAGCTCCTCTGGTCTCCAGGACCCCCTGGAGATAGCGGTCAGCCTCAACGGGTCAACCCTGATCCCTCCCACGCCGACCCTGAACACTGGGACAGGGACTACCGCCCTCAACGGACACCCTCACCACCACCCCATCCCAGCCCTCCGCTTTCCCTCTGTGAGTGAATGGGACAAATAGTGAGCTAGTTATCCAAGTGTAAGAGTAGTAGAGAGGGGATGACTAGCAACTCTACCTGAACTGTCCCTGTTTGTTTTTTAATTACCATTATACACTATGTTTCTGTGTCTGTTGCCTTATGCTTAACTGTCCCCTCTCCTTTTCCCGTTTGTAGAGTATTGCAGTATTGGGTAATACGGAGCATGGACACTCTGGAGGACGCGCTCCCAGTGGTTTCACCTCACCTGTGGACAGGTACGCTCCTCAGCCTCTTCCCTAGAATAAATACTTTATTGTCTATTTTTATTAGAAAGAGACTGCCTTTCCCATCACACCCAGACACACACACGTACACACACACACGCACGCACACAGATACACACACACTCGTTGAGAGGCACAGGGTCAGTCAGTGCCGCATTCCTTGATCTGTTTTTGGGGGTGCTTCCAGCAGCAGTGGAATACACAAACAGACCCCCAGTTGCCAGGTTCCTACTCCACCCTCTAACCTCTAGGCTTCATACGCCTCCGTACACATCTGTGTGTCCGAATAGCAGACTGATCTGAGGGAAACAACAGCCCCTCCCTAGTCTAGTGATTGAAGAACAATGGACTTTGAGGTTTCTGTCTGTTTTACTTTAGTATCAGATGTTTCTGGCTAGGGGGTGTTTGTGAGTGCGTGCGTGCGTGCGTGCGTGAATGCGTGTGTGAATGCGTGCGTGTGCCTGTGTGTGTTGTCATCTGGTTCCCATTCTGTCTAAGGTATCTTGTGTTCCAAAACATCTTCAGCGTGTGCTACTAATGAATCTATACACGGCGATTAGAAAGATTATACTTTAGTTCGCAAGTGGGAAATACATTTTTACAGTTAGTCAGCAAAAACACTACTTAAAAACTGAAACTCAACACCAATACATAAGACCAAACAAGTATGTCATAAACAAGAAGAATGTAAACAAAAACATTTCCATTTCCCCATTACCTCCATCCTGAGTGGGTGAACAACCAGCTTTGTCCGCCGTGAACTGAAGTTATCAAAAAGTACTTCAGATTTTAGAGGATGGTTAGAAAGCTCAGTGGAACCTGCCAACCAGGAGAGCGTCTGTCTGTAAATCTTTGCTGGAGTGGTGGATGGAGGGAGGGATAAATCAGGGACCACGGCACTAAGAGACCGAGGGGACTGAATTTAAGCTTTTTTAAAAAGTAATGCATGTTCTCCCAGGCTGTGTAACATGCACTTTTACATTATATAAAAACTACACTGCTGAACAGAATATGTGGATTTGTTGTTCCTTTACTATGACTGTGTATTTGTTTTCTATAGGAGATTTGTCCCAAACGCTGTAGGCCCATATTACAGCACACTGATGTTTACTATATCCTCACATTGGGCTTTATTTGGCATGTATAACGGTCTAGCTCTGTTTCCCAAAACTTAGAGATCCTGTTTTGGCAGCTGGTTATTTCAATTTCTTCCTCATAGCATAGCATATATTAACTCATAAATGGCTGCAACACAAAATGCACCAGTGGTGTTATGGCAGTTATGACACAAATTCACTAACATATCAATCATCTTCACAGCTACACATCCGACATGACCTCGGGTTTGAGTGACGGCTACGAGGGCCTATCAGAGAGGAGTGGCAAGACTGCTGCCAGGCGCACGGCTGGCAAGCTGTTCTGGAGGAGGGCCCGTTCAAGACTGCGGATCACTGGAGTAAAACAAATCAATCAATTAATCAATCAAGACTATTCTATACAAGTGATTGTCAAGTCTGAAAGTCCACAGTTAGGGCCCATCCCAAATGACACCCTATTCCCTATATAGTGGAGGAATAGGGTACCAATAGGTTGCCATTTGGATATGCATACTTTGCAGTGTTTCTCCTATATTAATTTAGCAGCAACGCCCCATAAATCGTCACCGCCACTCAAAATAATATGATTACATTGTATTATTTTGGGGGAGATATTCTGCTGAGACACGCTTTTAAGCATTTGACACATTTATTTACATTTTTTATGATTCAGCCTATTTATTTAAAGCTGCTATGCTGCATCAGTTGGGCTACAGGTTGTAATGCTTTTAAAGGGAAAATTATATTTCAGATGGTGTCAACATAATTAAATTTTCATTCATTTTGGGATAGAATGTCCTTTTAAAAAGTAACCAGAAGTGACAGGTTATGCTGATGGTACAGTATGCTCTTGTGACCAGAACACCTTGTCTCAATGGCCTGGGGAAGCAGAAACAAACATTTACATTTTAGTCATTTAACAGACACTCTTATCCAGAGCGACTTACAGTAGTGAGTACATACATGTTCGTACTGTTCCCCAGTGGGAATCAAACCCACAACCCTGGCGTTGCAAATGCCATGCTCTACCAACTGTGCCACTCAGACCATACTCTACCTCATACACATACAGTAGGTGCATGTATGCATACACACACACACACACACACACACACACACACACACACACACACACACACACACACACACACGCATACACACACACGCATACACACACACACACACACACACACACACACACACACACACACACACACACACACACACACACACACACACACACACACACACACACACACACACACAGAGTGCTCTATCTTTGTTCTGCTGCTTCCCCAGTGTCTTTCTATTCTACATAACATAAACAAACTAACACTGGTGGATGGTGTCTCTGTGCAGCTCTCTGACAAAGACGACCGGGTGGTGGAGTGTCAGCTGCAGACTCACAATGACAAGATGGTTACCTTCAAGTTCGACCTGGACGGAGACAACCCAGAGGACATTGCAGCTGTCATGGTTAGTTGTCACCTCTAGGGTGTGAATAGCCTTAGGTCATTTAGGGATTTATTTAGTTGAATCATCTGCATATCATTGTTATGAAGTTATTGTCGTAAAAAAAAAAACGTTTACACAAATTATCAGTGATGACAGTCATATTATTATCTCTGTGTGACAGACTCATTATGCTGAAGGAAGAGCCTATAAACGCAGGACAAATGAAGCACAATCAGCTTATCTTAATGGCAGAGACCCCTATCTACTCCTGTCTCACACAGCAGCACAGACTCTACATTCCACTTCCAGTTAAAACACTCTTGTCTCTGTGTTTCTGTGTCATGTAGCTTTATCTTGGTTAGGGGGATGTGAGGCAAGAAGATAAGCAGTTTACACACGTGTGTCTAATTTAGTTTTGATTACGAACTTGGGGAGGTTCTGGCGTAGGGATACACAAAGCACGTAGGCATGATGAGGTAGTGGTATTTTCGGCTTCTGTTGGTGGTAGATTCTAGAACGTTGTGTTCACTGAGTGTTCTGTTTATTCCGACTCTGAATGAAACACAGCAAGCTTTTGTTTAGGCCAGTCTTGGCACAGATCTGGTCAGGTCTCATAAATGCCCCTATTAGTGCAGCACACCAGCACTATACGAGCTGAATTAAGACATGCTGACAGGAGAGCCAACCTATTCACCACACCACACCCCACCACCCAACCACCCAAACAACCCACAATTCATAGAATTTGCACCACATACACTCAGACTGCTTCAACAAATTAGTATACTATGAAGGTTGGACAAGAAGCCACTTATGACACAATACACAATAACTGAAGATGGAAGGACAGATGGATGAACGGAAGGATGGACAATTAGACAGACAGGCAGGCAGACAGACATACATATATTATCAATGTGTTATTATTAGGTAATTAATGTTATAATAATTTTGTTATTCATGTGTTATTAATGTGTTAATTGCGTCTGTATTTTACAGGTTCACAATGAGTTCATCCTGCCAGCAGAAAAGGAGGGGTTTATCCACCGCATGGGTGACATCATCAAGAGGGCGGAGGCTCTGATGAAGGAGCACATGGTCCACGTGGGCGGCAGCCACGGAGCGCCACGCCCACAACACCACAACTCACTGTCTGCATCCCAGGTAAGTACCACTACTAGTACCAATACCAGTAACAGTACCAGTACCAATACCAGCTCTGGGTTCCCACATCACCAAAACCATTTCACTGACTTTCAAATGTTCAAATGTTCACAGACTCTGCGTCATCATGGTATGTACTGCTAGCTGTGTGGTCATATATTGAGGAGGAATCTTATGTGAATTGGGTGTGAATCCTCTTGTGGATTAGGTGTGAATGTACATACATATTTTCATTTCCTTTTGCGGTCAATGTATTTTAGGGAGCTATAGGGAGCTATAGGGAGCTATTGGGAGATTTAGGGAGATTTAGGGAGCTATAGGGAGCTTTAGGGAGATTTAGGGAGCTATGGTGACCTATAGGGAGCTTTAGGGAGCTATAGGGATATTTAGGGAGCTATGGGTAGCGATAGGAAGCTTTAGGGAGCTATAGGGAGCTTTAGGGAGCTTTAGGGAGCTATAGGGAGATTTAGGGAGATTTAGGGAGCTATGGAGAGATTTAGGGAGCTATAGGGAGCTTTAGGGAGATGTAGGGCGCTATAGGGAGCTTTAGGGAGCAATAGGGAGCTATAGGGAGCTTTAGGGAGCTATAGGGATATTTAGGGAGCTTTAGGGAGCTTTAGGGAGATTTAGGGAGCTATAGGGAGCTATAGTGAGCTTTAGGGAGCTATAGGGAGCTTTAGGGAGCTATAGGGATATTTAGGGAGCTATAGGGAGCTTTAGTGAGATTTAGGGAGCTATAGGGAGCTTTAGGGAGCTATAGGGAGATTTAGGGAGCTTTCGGGAGCTTTAGGGAGCTATGGGGAGCTATAGGGAGCTTTAGTGAGCTATATGGAGCTATAGGGAGCTATAGGGAGCTATAGGGAGATTTAGGGAGATTCAGGGAGCTATGGGGATATTTAGGGAGCTATAGGGAGATTTAGGGAGATTTAGGAAGCTATAGGGAGCTTTAGGGAGCTTTAGGGAGCTATAGGGAGATTTAGGGAGCTATAGGGCGCTTTAGTGAGATTTAGGGAGCTATAGGGAGCTTTAGGGAGCTATAGGGAGATTTAGGGAGCTTTCGAGAGCTATAGGGAGATTTAGGGAGGTATGGGGAGCTATAGGGAGCTGTAGGGAGCTATATGGAGCTATAGGGAGCTTTAGGGAGCTATAGGGAGCTATAGGGAGATTTAGGGAGCTATAGGGAGCTATGGGGAGATTTAGGGAGCTATAGGGAGCTTTAGGGAGATTTAGGGAGCTTTAGGGAGCTATAGGGAGCTATGGGAGCTATATTGAGCTTTAGGGAGCTATAGGGAGCTTTATGGAGATTTAGGGAGCTATATGGAGCTATAGGGAGCTTTACGGAGCTATAGGGAGCTTTAGGGAGCTATATGGAGCTTTAGGGAGATTTAGGGAGCTATATGGAGCTATAGGGAGCTTTACGGAGCTATAGGGAGCTTTAGGCAGCTATATGGAGCTTTAGGGAGATTTAGGGAGCTATAGGGAGCTATAGGGAGCTTTAGGGAGCTATAGGGATATTTAGGGAGCTATGGGGAGATTTAGGGAGCTATAGGGAGCTTTAGGGAGATTTAGGGAACTATAGGGAGCTATAGGGAGCTTTAGGGAGCTATAGGGAGCTTTAGGGAGCTATAGGGAGTTATGGCTAAAGAATAAAGACATAGAGTAAGGGAGCATTTGTACATTATACATTACATTAGTTTAAATACAATACCCCCAGCTGTGCTTATCCTGGGCAGGTCATAAATATGTTACAAGTAGAAGAGTGTGTTTAGTATGGGCCTAGTGGGGAAAATGCCTAAGAGACAGGAGTTATGGAGAAAGTGTGCTCTGAACAAAAGCAACAGGAGTAATACTGTAATCAGGACTAAAAAGCTCTTAAACCTCCATATAAATCCTATGACGTCATTAGTGGAAGTGCACCACCATGCCTCCCTCTTTCTTCTCCCACCCTACGGTGTGTACACTAAATCAAACCAAAATCAAATAAAATGTATTTGTCACATGCTTCGTAAACAACAGGTGTAGACAAACAGTGAAATGCTTACTTACCAACAATGCAGAGAGAAAAATAGAAAAATAATATAAAGATAAAAACACGAGGAATAAATACACAATGAGTAACAATAACTTGGCTATATACACGGGGTACCAATACCGATTGGTGTAGGGGTAAGAGGTAATTGAGGTAGATATGTAAATATACACTACCGGTCAAAGGTTTTAAAACACCTACTCATTCAAGGGTTTTTCTTAATTTTTACTATTTTCTACATTCTAGAATAATAGTGAAGACATCAAAACTATGAAATAACACATATGGAATCATGTAGTAACCAAAAAAGTGTTAAACAATTCAAAATATATTTAATATTTGAGATTCTTCAAATAGCCACCCTTTGCCTTGATGACAGCTGTGCACACTCTTGGCATTCTCTCAACCAGCTTCATCTCAAATGCTTTTCCAACAGTCTTGAAGGAGTTCCCATATATGCTGAGCACTTGTTGGCTGCTTTTCCTTCACTCTGCGGTCCAACTCATCCCAAACCATCTCAATTGGGTTGAGGTCGGGGGATTGTGGAGGCCAGGTCATCTGATGCAGCACTCCATCACTCTCGTTCTTGGTATAATAGCCCTTACACAGCCTGGAGGTGTGTTGGGTCATTGTCCTGTTGAAAAACAAATGATAGTCCCACTAAGCCCAAACTAGATGGTAAGGCAGAATGCAGTGGTAACCATGCTGGTTAAGTGTGTCACAGACAGTGTCACCAGCAAAGCAACCCCACACCATAACACCTCCTCCTCCATGTTTTATGGTGGGATAAACACATGCAGAGATCATCTGTTCACCAACACCGCGTCTCACAAAGACACGGCGGTTGGAATCAAAAATCCCCAATTTGAACTCCAGACCAAAGGACACATTTCCACCGGTCTAATGTCCATTGCTCGTGTTTCTTGGCCCAATCAAGTCTCTTCTTCTTGGTGTCCTTTAGTAGTGGTTTCTTTGCAGCAATTCGACCATGAAGGCCTGATTCACACAGTCTCCTCTGAACATGTTGAGATGTGTCTGTTACTTGAACTCTGTGAAGCATTTATTTGGGCTGCAATTTATGAGGCTGGTAACGCTAATGAACTTATCCTCTGCAGCAGAGGTCTTCCATTCCTGTGGCGGTCCTCATGAGAGCCAGTTTCATCATAGCACTTGATGGTTTTTGTGACTGCACTTGAAGAAACGTTCAAAGTTCTTGAAATGTTCCGTATTGACTGACCTTCATGTCTTAAAGTAATGATGGACTGTCATTTCTCTTTGCTTATTTGAGCTGTTCTTGCCATAATATAGACTTGGTATTTTACCAAATAGGGCTATCTTCTGTATATCACCCCTACCTTGTCACCGCACTACTGATTGGCTCAAACGCATTAAGAAGGAAATAAATTCCACACAAATTAACTTTTAAGAAGGCACACCTGATAATTGAAATTCATTCCAGGTGACTACCTCATGAAGCTTGTTGAGAGAATGCCAAGAGTGTGCAAAGCTGTCATCAAGGCAAAGGGTGGCTATTTGAAGTATCTCACATATAAAATATATTTTAATTTGTTTAACACTTTTTTGGTTACTACATGATTCCATATGTGTTATTTCATAGTTTTGATGTCTTCACTATTATTCTACAATGTAGAAAATAGTAAAATGAATGAGTAGGTGTTCTAAAACTTTTGACCGGTAGTGTAGGTAGGGGTAAAGTGACTAGGCAACAGGATAGATAATAAGCAGTAGCAGCAGCGTATGTGATGAGTCAAAAGAGAGGGGGTCAATGCAGATTGTCCAGGTAGCTATTTGGTTAACTATTTAGCAGTCTTATGGCTTGAGGGTA